AAAAAAAGAGAGCGACCTGTGTATCTTCTAAAAATGTATTCTTTCCTAAACAAGGTTAAAAAAAATTTAGTGACAGTAAAAAAAGAACAACAGTCAGAGTGGTTTGTACATGTTAGTGGACATAGTATGGACACAACTCTCTGGATGAATTAGATGATGTATCGGCCTGGGGAGCAGGGCCACTGTACACAGTTGTGTCACTGGAGAAGGTGAAGACTGGAAAGGCATGTTGAAGGATCAGAGTAGACATCCTTGACTAGTCAACCTGGCTAGGTAAGCACATCCAGCCATTAAAAGGAGACCTTCAGGGGAAAGCCACGAGAACAGTTATTTCTGTGTAGCTACTGTCTTGGCCAAGTATCCAGTAATGAACTGGGGGTAGTGATACTCAATGGTCCTAGCATTCAGGAACACAACGAGATGGCAAGGAGAGGTTGCAACCCACCAGGCATTTCTGTGACAGTAAAAAGAAAAGAGAAATGGATTCTGCTTACTTCAGCCTTCTAAATTTCAGATGTACAGCTCTTTTGGACAATCTAACCAAGGGAAATAGTTCCCGATTTAACCAAACTGACACAGCTACACCTACCACAGATGAATAGCACATAATTCAGATATAAACAGAAAAACTTTCATTATCTCATCTGCTTAACACAACAGACACAGTTTGCAAAAAAGGTAAAAATAAAGTTATATAAACCTTAAAATTCATATTCCTTCATGATAAGGTATATCCTCAAAGTATCTCACTATACTCTACCCATCATTCTGCAATTTTTCTAAAGTAAAAGAGTGTCAAATAAGAGGTGAAGTTCTTAGCTCTGCCCAGGAAATCCATTTTGTTTTGGCCATGAACTGCTAAAGCTACCACCCAGATGCTACTGCATACACTACACAAATTAACATAAAAGGTCAAATGACAAAGTGTGACCAACATTTATTTTATCATCTGATTCTGGATGAACCCATACCTCGTGGAATTTCCTTTAGCATTCAAGTGAACCGGAAAGATTTTCATTTTGCACCTATTTCTTCGCTCTAAATAATGGTATCCCTTTGCTAGGCACACATAGAGATAATGTGACCATGGAATTGCTTGGTAATTGACAGCTCTGTCATCCTGGGGGGATGAATTAGAACTGCCTGGGTAGTAGTGTCTGTCAGCATTTGCCTCATACAAAGCCTAGAAACTGATGGTCACTTATGTATGTCCTCAGTGTCCATCTGTGTAACTTCTCAATGTCCTTGTAGCTCCTACCCTCTCCTGACTGCCCTCCAGAAGTCAGTACCTAGTCTGACATGCAAAGTAAAAAAAAAAAAAAAAAAAAAAAAAAATCAAGAAGAGACAAATACTATGTCGTTCAGTTCATTTCTGTTTATTTTTTAAAAGCAGATTTTCTTGCCAAAGTCTGTAACAAAGAGATCGGGGGTTTTAGAACATAAAACAAAAAACCCTTGACAACTCCAAGAGGCCCTCCTGTCCATGACAGAATAAGTGTTTCCATTGTATGCCTCTTCCCACACATTCCATTCCCCACCTTGAACTTTCCCACCAGAAAAGCACAAACACAGAAGATATTTCCAGTAATCTACCAGACTGAAAAAAATGTTTCCCAGGATCTTTATTTTCCATTCAATAACATGAACTCGGGACAAACCACTAGAAGAAAGTAACAAAACCTATTGTTTTTGCTATTCTCTTTTCAGTCTGATTCTGTATCCTCTGTTTGCCTCATCGTTTGTCTTCTCTTGTTCTTACAGACACTTACCATTGCAAGGCTCAGAGTCTAGTAGTAGAATCCGATATTTTATAAATGGCTTCCCAAATAATTAATTATAATTTTGATGCTGGGCAGAAAAAAGTAGGGCACTGACCTAACCTAGACTGGGGAGGGGACCAGAGGGCAGGAAAGTGAACACTTACCTAATATCTAAGGAATATGTAACAAGATAAGGCAGTCAAGTTCCAGAAAGGAGGAAACTTTTATTGGAGCTCCAGCTACACTAGGGCTTAATTCTCCAGAAAAAAAACTGCTAAAAATGATACTTTAATGTGAGGATTGTGAAATAATATTCAAATTTTTGTCTAAGATATAGCTATCATATCCTAATAACAAATTATTTCATTAATTTCAAGAAAGATGGCAGATATAGTCTAGCCCAGCAATATTTAAGCTATAAAATAGAATATTTGGATAAAAAAGCCAAAGAAATTTATAGTAGCATAACATTTATAGGATTAATTATGAAATACAGGCAAATTCCTATGCTTCATATTCAATATTTTAAGAAAACAATATAAACCATGGCTGACTATTCATATCATTACAATGGATTCTAATTTATATAATCTCATTTTAAAACAGTAACAGGTAGTCAAGATTGAGTGATAATTTAATGTATGTGTGTGATTAACTACCCTCTATCAAAAACATGTGGTATTTTTCTATTATAAATGTCAATATTCATATTACTATTATCTCATATTTACTGATTGTCTAACATTGACCAAGTACTGGGTTAGTCTCTCTAACTTATATTTCATTGGGAAGTTTTGGACAAGAATAATACCTGCTACTCAAAAACTGTATGGCAGCAAAATTTACATAGGTACAAAAATGTTTCCAAAACATGAAAAACAAAGGTAATCTATTATAATCTCAACATGAATAAATTATTTGATGTTTTCAAAGAACTTACCCTTTAAAATGTAATTAACAAAATGTCTACACAGCTGTGCAGCAAATTTATCACAAAAAGCCTGAGATTGCTGTCCTTAGAAACACCTGCTAACTAGGTGGGCCCTCAGCCAGCACATGGGAAACTGGTTCTTGGAGTATTCCCAGTGAAGAGTTAACTGATAAGGGTGGCTCACTGTGCCCAGAATGTTTGCATAAACAGTATGGTGTATGTTAAACACCTGCTTTCCTCTGAGAATCTGGATTTTACTTTTATGTGGTAGGCAGGATGTCTACATGACCAATCCCAACAAATACCTTGGACACCAAGTCTACAAAGGGCTTCCCTGGAGAGAAACAACATACACATGTTCATTTTTTTTTGCTGGGGCGGGGGAGGGAGGAGGATAGGTGGTGTTTGTGCTACACTTCAGGGGAGGGAGAGAATATAAGGAATCCTGCACATGGATTCTTCCAGAATCTGCCTATGTCTCTTTCTCACAGGATCCAGCTGTGCATCCTCACTACTTGACTGTAATCAACTTAAGCCATGAGTACAACTATAGACTGAGACCCACAAGTTCTAGAAAATCTCCAAATATAGAGGTGGTCTTAGGGACCCGCAACACAGAAGCTTTCTAAAAAAGCCAGAATTCTTACCTGCTGATATGCTGCATAGATCACATCATATAGAAAAGCCTGTGGCATTTCACTTGCTCTGTGTCTGGCACGTTCCAGGGAGTGGTCTAAGCAACCATCGGCAGATGGACTGATGACGGTGGATACAAGAGGGCGAATTGCTCCTGCTGCCTACATAACAAACAGAGGAAAACAAGACATTGTTTCACCTAGAAAATATTTTGAAGTCAAATTCTAAACTCTGTATCTTATTTTTGAAAGCAGATGTTATTCATACCTTCAACAAACTACCTCAAGGAAATATCTGAACAAATATTCATTTGGTTCATAAATCAAATCATGTCACACCAAGAACCAATTTCATAATATTACAGTTCCATATATAAGAGGTAGAAAATTTTCTCCATCATAGGTTTAAAATCCTTTTTATACAGGCCATTGAAGTCAAATACTAAAAATGGATGCAATTATATAATTGGGTATTCCCTAAGATGGAAGAAAGAGAAACACTATATGAAAGAACTGAAATGAATTATACATGAATTACTAATTAGTATGCTTTCAAAAGATTTAACTTACACATTAGAAAATTAAGGAAACAGACATATTCCCTAAGATCCCCAAAATGAGACTCAACAACCCACATAACAATGAATTTATGTTTTGCTCTAATTCCTGTGAAAACCAGTTCACTTCAAACATAGCATTAGTGGAATGCTCCCTCAGGCAAAATATCCATTAATATCAATTGCTCTGATAAAAGCTCTATTTCATTAATAGAGGTATCTAAATTTTATTAAAAAACACACTTCATATCTGACAATTTTTGCCTTTAGCTTTAATACAGTGTCTTTGTAATATAGACTTAGAGGTCATTACCAAACAGCTGTCTTGGAGAAGTAGCCTTAAAATACAGTTCCTATGGTAAGCAATTAAACCAAACCTCCTTATAGTGTATCCAAAATATCCTATCTTTCATGTAATTGCTACAGGGGGATTGCAGCATAAATACAACACATTTGGCCTGAAGACCAACATCTGAGCAAGAAAGACAGTCTATGAACTAGTTTACAAATGCCAAAAGATTGGCTAAAAATCAAAGCTAATGTATGAGCCATGTAGACAGTTTACAAACTGTGTCACCATTTCCAGTGACGCAAGTAAAAATTTGGACCCGAGGCATAAAAATGAGGAGACCAGCCCAGGGTGACAGGGAAGAAGTGATGTCCAAGTAGGTGAAAGGTAAGTAAGGTAAGTAAGGAACAAGCCCAACTGGTCAAACCTATCAGTAGGGGTTAGAAGACAAAACAGGAAAGAAACACATGTGCACACGTGTATATACATACACTGCTTTTTAAGAAAAAAATTAAATTTCCATTGCAAGTACTTAGAGCTAATTTTATGCCAGGCCACGAAATAAAAATTTACTTAAAAGAGAACATGAGACATTCAAGTGTCAACATGAGAAGCTCCACAGATTCTCTCCCAAGCCAATTATAAACAGTGAAAATTATATAAAAAAACAAAACATGGAAAAGCCATTGAAAATTGTCCTAAGGGCATTCAGCAAATTAGGAAACTTTATTCAAGAAAATCCTCTAAATCTTGGGGAGAGTAAAGAGAGCCTGTGGTGCTCAAGTCATATCCATTTCTTCTCTTATTGTTCACCCAGTTTAGTATGGCTGAAGTTCCTCTCAGCATAGGTATAGCCAACAAATGGGGCTCCCTCTCCCCCTAGTTCCCAATAGGAGAAGCAGAGTGCTAACATTCCCATCTTACTCAGCTCCATGTCTCCCACAGAAGCTAAATAACAGGCAAGTGTTGCCAAGAGTTAGAGACACCCACGTATAGGGTAAGGATCTGCCCCGGAAATGATAGGCAGAGAATACTTTGGCCTGGATGTCTCTTGCCCCACATCACACATAATGCAGAGGTTCTATACCAGAAGAGGCAAAAAGAAATTCTGGGAGTCTCCTAATGCCCCCATGCAGCACCCTGCTCATGAAGTAGGGGTATCAGTCTGAAAGAAACAATCATGGCCGAAGTAGTGATGCAGTGACTGCTCGCAAGGCAAGAGACAGGCTCAAAGAGCAGAGGGCTATGAAGCTTTCCCCAAGGGAAATCACTTTATTTGGAAGTTTAAGCCCAAGGACACTCCTAAATGAAATGAGATTGTCATGATATGTAATTAAGAGGAGGCCAGTAGATACAGGAGACCAAAAGGAAACTGCAAG